TTTCCCCCAGTCTTCAAAACATGTATCTGTCTCTGCCTTTATTCTCATCAATAAGGAATTTAAAGCTGTGGACTCGTTGCTCGCAAATGTCACTGCCTGTGAAAAATGCAAATGGAGAGAACAAAGAGGCTCCATGGTGCAAGTGGAAATTCAGAGTCCCTGCAGCGAGGTGAATTTTTTTTCAGTCTTTCCTTTGAAAGCAGGTTTGACACGATTTCCTGAGAAGCTGCCTGTTTTGCTTCACCATCCCCATAACCAACAGTTGCCCAATTTAGACGGATTAATTGAGCTGCAAACGGTAACATCCAGATCTCCCATGTTGCTTAAAATACAATACAGCCAAAGCTGGCATGACTGCAGCCAGGATCAAAGGGAGAGGATTACAGGAGCAGGGTAGATGTCTGTCTATGAGAATCAGGACATAGACTCTAAGGCATTATGAAGTAAAAACTCTTAACATCTTTTCTGCCATACCTCCAAGCAAAGATGAGCTGGGGGAGGTCAGAGCGATTCACCTGACTCAGCCAGACAAAATAGGTCACATTAGCTTCTCCAGCAATTAGGAGAGACTCCTTTTTCTAATGAAGTGGCTAAGACAAGGAAGAGAAAAGTGAAGCCTTCAGAGGACAGCAAAGAACAGAAAAAGTTCAGAAGTCAGGCGCGGTTAACGCCGATGTTTTGAAGCTTATAGTTAATGCTCCAGGACTTTCCTACTCCAGGCAGGACGTGGATTGCCCAGCAAAGGAGAAGGGCATGGATGTTTATGAACTGGAGTTACTCCTGGCAAAGTGTGCTGCCAGTGATAATCCATCTTGGGCAGGAGTGTTTTGAAACGTTATTGCTGAGTCGTGCAGATTTGTGACGATACCAAGCCCCGTACAACTCCAGGAGAAGCTGCCAGAAATGAGGAGGACTTATGTTTGCAGTCTATATTTGTGGAACTAAGCTTTGAAAGCTCTTCCCTTTGACTTGTTCTACCACTTAAAGTAGAAAAAAAATAAACAACCTTAAAAGACTGGAAAATAATCCCAAAAATCCAGGATCAAAACTCCCCTGGATGCAGCAGAGCTGTGGAGCAGAGATCATGAAGTCAGGTCTTGTGGGTTTAATTCTTTAATTTATAGGAGCAGGATTGTCTTGCATCAGATTTAATGTTCTGCAGGGAGATTTCTCCAAAGAGCTCTAGTTCCCAATGCAAGTGTGGGACACTGAGCACCCTCATGTGGAAGAGGAGGCACCTTCTCTGAGAAAAGCTGAGAAATCCTGTCAAGCATCTTTCAAGAACTTCCCATCCTCTAAGGCAGTAAATTCCATGCCAAGGGACAGGAGTTGCACAGAGTAAGCTGGACAACATACAGAGAACTGCTTGTACTCAGAGACCTGCACTTCTGCAGGAACCTAAACCAGCATTCTACTCCTTACCCTGCCTAAAAACCTGGAAATTGTCTCCCTCACTTTCACACTGCCACTGAATTTATTCCTGATCTACTGTGCTGGGACAGCTAGATGGTAAGTAGCAAGAAGACCAAGTCATAAGCTAGCTGCAACAAGGTGAATATCTAGGAGCAGGGTTCTGAAGAGCACCTCTTGCAGCTTCCAACCGTGGTGGCCACGCATGTTCTACACCTCCAGGCACCTGCCACCACTTCTTTCCTGACATTTCCTTGCACAGCCCCAGGGAGAGTCTGCTAGAGTGGCTTTTTAGACCTTCACACCAAGAATTTGCAGGGTGGATTTGTGCTGTTTCTAGCACACCCTACAAGTGAGTTTGCATAACCAGAACAAGAGAGGGATTTGACTCTGGCTGAAACCCTCACCTGTAATTTGTCACAACAGCATGTGTCTACAAGGCAAGAGATCTGTCAGCAAACATAAACCTTGTAGTAGCCTGTGTTTGATCTGTCTGGACATGAGCCCTGACCCTTTTTTGCAGGAACCTTCTCAAGCAGACATCTAGGTGCCCATCAGCTACGAAAGGCTGCAAGCTCTAGCACGGACACCCCCCCTCCCCCAGAGGAAGAAAATGGTTTCTTACCAACAATCATGTGGTTGCAGACGTCGCAGAAGGTGGGTTTTTTGAAGATGTGCTCCTGGAAGATGTGAGCCTTGTTGTTTTCTGCCAGCTGCTGGGCTCTGGTGGGGGAGGACGCTTGGCTCTCTGAGCTGGGGAGCTGCCCGGTGCTCGTGCTCACCTCGGGCATCAAATCTACTTGGAGTTTCACATCACTATTAGTCCTCTGGAAGAAATTGTCTGCACTTTTACTCCTCAAGCTTTTGGTCTTGAAGGAGAGCGATCGTTTCAGCTTCTGCAGCTGCAACAAATAAACCAGTTACAATTACTGCCTTTCCCTCTTCGACAGCAAGGTGAAGCTCCAGGGCTTGGGGGGGGGTGCTGTTGACAAGTGACCCCAGGAGCCACTGGCAGACCTTGAACCACCTGAACAATAAAATTGATTTTTAGAATTCAACCAGCAGTTTCAGAGCGAGGAAAACACATCCCAGTCAGAAAAATCAACCACTCCACCTAGGCTTGCTGACAGATAATACATTTCAGAGCCCTGATGAATGCTTTTATTGGGCTTTTCTTTCAGTACAAGAGCAAAGAGGTACTGCAGAGAACTGTAAACATGGCAGAATATATCCATGAGAGAACTTTGGGTATTAGTCATCCTCACATGGTCCTTAAGTAGCCTGCAAAGCCATTTCAGGAACAGCTGCTAAAGGGCAGTGCAAGAGGAGTGGATTCAGGAAATATATTTGGTGCATTTCTTGACTTTGAAACAGATTATGTGCAGTTTTGACTCCAAAATTCTTCTTTTCTTTTAAAGGAGAGAAGGCTAAGGAGCAGAAACATTACCAATGGATAGTTAATGCATTAACGAATTATCACTAGTTAAGAGACAGTCACATGTACTCTGGTATGTTGGATTCTTCTTTTCTTTTAAAGGAGAGAAGACTAAGGAGCAGAAACATTACCATTAACTAGCCAATGGATAGTTAATGCATTAACTAATTATCACTAGTTAAGAGACATTCACATGTACTCTGGTATTGTGTATTGATTGGCAGACTATTAAGCACCACAATAAGATATTGTGAACTTTAATGTGTTCATTCAAACTTTTTACCTGTAAAGTGGCTTGTACCTTATCCCAGAATAATGGAATGGGTTGGGTTGGAAGGAACCATAAAGATCATCCAGTTCCAACTCCCCTCTCACAGGCAGGGACCCCTCCCCCCAAACCAGGGAACTTTAATGTGTTCATTCAAACTTTTTACCTGTAAAGTGGCTTGTACCTTATCCCAGAATAATGGAATGGGTTGGGTTGGAAGGAACCATAAAGATCATCCAGTTCCAACTCCCCTCTCACAGGCAGGGACACCTCCCACTAGACCAGGTGGCTCAAAGCTCCATCCAACCTGGTCGTGAACACATCCAGGGATGGAGCATCTACAGCTTCCTTGGGCAACCTGGGCCAGGGTCTCACCACCCTCATGGCCCAGCATTATTCCAACTACTACGAAATCATTTCAATCACTGCTTCAGTTCTCTGGGCGAATGGGATGGGAACAACTGAAATTTTCCATGCTGCTCAGGCTGCCTGTGGTACCCAGCAGGACTGGTTTATATTAGAAACTCTTTGTTAGAAGCAATGATGATTTGGAATTGTAATTTACACTGATATAAAGAGAAGGAGTTCACAAACTCTCCCAAAAAAGCGTGGCACTGGTCTGTCACACCGACTTGGTGGCCTCAGAGCACTTGCTCTCCTTAGATGCTATTCCAGATCCATCCTCATGGGATCCTGCTCCATCCCATGAGAGGGAATCTGGTCAATGTTGATCAGTATCTAAAGGGGTCCAAGAGGCTGGGGCCAGACTCTTGTTAGTGGTGCCCAGTGACAAGACAAGGGTTAATGGGCACAAACTGGAACCCAAGAGGTTCCATCTGAACATAAGCAAAAACTTCTTTCCTGTGAGGGTGGCAGAGGCTGGAGCAGCTGCCCAGAGAGGCTGTGGAGTCTCCTGCTCCAGAGAGATCCCAAACCCACCTGGATGTGACCCTGGGCACCCTGCTGTGGGTGACCCTGTTTTAGCATAGGCGTTGGACAAGATGATCTCCAGAGGTCCCTTCCAACCCCCACCACACTGGGATTCTGTGGTTTTTTGTTATGGTGCAGCTGAAAGCACACTGTCAGAGAGGAGCAGCAAGGTATCCCAGGGGGATCCTCCCTTCCACCTTCAGACATGAGCAGCTTGTTCCTGGAGAAGGAAGACACTCCAGCTCTCTTCCCCACGTTTCACATCACACTTCCTGAGCCCAACAGGTAGGCAAAGAAGTTCCATTGCCTCCAGTAACAGTGTTTGGGTTTGCACATGGAAGCAAACCCCATTCTGCTCCTCCTCAATGACTCTGGGAGTTGGGAGGGATCAGAGCCAGGGGGGCCCATCCCACACACACCACCCTCATCACTCTTTCTGGGTTCACAGAGGGAGCCTTGGATCCAAATGAAGGAAATACCTGTTTGCAAGAAACCCTCAGGCTCTGGGGCAAGGTGTAAATAAGAATGATTAAGTCATTAAACACCCACTACAAGGTGAGAGCAGTCTCTGGTTTCTGAAGCTCTTCCACAGTTGAAGGCTAAATCGTGGACGAGCTGAGCCCAAAACTCACTGTACAATTTACACCAACAAAATGTGAGTTCTACCCTTTTTTTCTTGGATGTTAAGTCACCAGCTCCTGAAATCCCTGAGGTTACTCAGTACTGAGATGACTTCATCGCTCCCATGACAGCCTGGAACTCAACAATAATTCACCCCCTTGCTCCTGAAGTGCTTCTCACTCAAGTCAGCCCTAATTAGTGTAGGCAAACACAGAGAATTACACCACCACAAGGTGACTGAAACATTTGGTATTGATTTGGCATCCATTTCTACAGTGCCACATGAAGTTAATTAAACTTCTAAACACCACTCCAGAAAAGAAAGCTAAGCTGAGCAACAGAGTATTTGTTTTGACATGAAATAACTCTCCTTATAACAATATAAATGGTATATTTTAAGGAAATCTGCATTTATTCCCTTCATCCCTTTCTCCTGTGCACAGGAAAAGTGTTTTACACCCATCTTGCACAAGAGAGATCACACAGGGCACTAGATTTGCCTCAGGTTTTAAACCTTGATCCAAATTTCCTTTCTCGTACTAAGCCCGTGAGAGAATTTGAAGCAGGGAACTGGTATGTGATTGTTTACTCAGGGAAAGTTGGCCCAGGCAAGGACAAGGGTAGGATGTTGAACAGAGAGTAGAAATTGTAAAACCATAAAAGCTTAAGTGATTATTAATCTGCAGTCAAGTGAGCACCACTTCCCTTGTGTAAATAGCCCCAGCTCCTCGTTTTAAAGTTAGCTGTAGCCTAACTGTGTTATTTTATGGGACCAGGACAAATTTAGGTTGGAGAGGAGGAAAAACTTCTTCATTGAAAGAGTTACCAAGCCCTAGAAGGGGCTGCCCAGGGCAGTGGGGGAGTCCCCATCCCTGGAGGGGGTTCCAAGCTGTGGAGATGTGGTGCTGAGGGACATGGCTCAGTGGAGACCTGGCAGTGCTGGGTTAACAGTTGGACTCAATAATCTTAAACATCTATTCCATCCAAAACAATTCTGTGATTTCAAATTAAATACAATACAGGCATCTAATATAAGCCTCATTTTGATCTGCCATAAGCTGATTTAATGCATTTGTGACACCACTGGCTCCTCATGGAGCTGCTACAGCATTCACCTGAGGCAGGAATCAGCTCTTTCAATAGGGAATAAAATAGGCAAGCTTTACTATTTATAATTTCTTTCTGCAGAGTGAATGAGTCCAAAGTTAAATGAGAGGAAGAAATGCTACTAAACTTTGGGAAAATCTGTGACTAGGGTTGTCCTGCACTCAATACTTCAGCACTTCAGTGAAAAATGGTGCATCAACCACCCAAAACACTAAACAAAACACAAAGAAGATTATAAGAAACATATTTGAGATAAATCCCCTAAGCCTTTCACATTTTTTTTTTTTCTCTGCTAGGAAGGCACAAATTAGCTCTCATTTAAATAAAATAAAAATAAAACTCCCACAAGCACAAGGACTTGACTAGACTCGTGATACCATCACGAGACTTCCCAGCACTGACACTTCAGAAACATAAAGCCCTGATATCAAATCCAGGCTGCTCCTGGGCTTTGAAAAATGTTTGTCTCCAGTAAAAAGCATTTTATCAGTCACACAAGCTGCCAGTGACTGCACATATTAACCCTGCAGGTAAGGTAGAGATAAGTGCAACAGATCCACCTCAGAGCTTGATTAAACTTTTTTTCCACCCTTCCCCAGTATCTCCCAACACAATCACCACCTTCCTCTGAGTTCCTGAATGTTCAAGCTTCAAGGGATCAGGGATGTCTGAAGAACCACAGCTTATCAGCACCTCCTCTGCTCCTAATTCTCCTGCACTGCAACTCTTTAGCTGCTCTAACCAGAAAACAGGAGGCAGCAAAAGGACAAAGTATTGAAATCCATCCTGAGTGTTAACTCGGTGCCACCACTCTGGATGGGAATGGGAATTGCACCTAAGACTTGATTTGACTTCAGCAATGGAAGCAACCCAGCTCCAAAATGCTAAGCTAGATGTCCCCTGTGCCATCACCACCTCTCTAGCACAACTTCTTCATCATCAAAGCTCAGGGAAACACTCCTATTCCCTCCACATCCTACACACAAATGTTTCATTCCCCCTTCTTGAAGCTCCCCCCTCAGTGTTTTCAAAGAGAATGGTGGTTACCAGGAGGACAAACTATTCTAGTCTAGTCAAGTTGTTTGCTTGAGCCATCAGCTTTTGCAACCCTCATGCAATCTGTCCACATTGGCTTAATTTCCAAGAGAGAATCATCAAATTATTTATGTTGAAAAATACCTCTGAGATCACCGAGTCCAATTGCTAACCCAACACAGCCAGGTCCACCACCAAACCATGTCCCTCAGCACCATATCTCCTACATTCTTGGTCTTTGTTGCCTTCTCAGCCTCTGTTGCCCAACCTTGCCAGCAGCAGAGGTTCCTGTGCAACGTGAGGCCAAATGGGAGATTATTTTTGTGCATTTCCATTCTTAATTATCTTCTAAGGAGAAATGAAGCAGACCTGTCAACCATACTTTACTGACAGACCAAATATCCAAGCTCTCCTTTCCAAACACCAGCTGTTTGCTGTATTGCTGCTGTGCTAGCACTAAAAAAAAAGTTCTTGCTTGCTCTTCTCTCTCCCTTTCTTTACAGCAG